TGAGCTGAAGGCAGCGGCTTAATCCACTGAGCCACCCAGGCGCCCCAAGAAGTTGTATTCTATTAAGCATCAGTAAGCTGGAAAGAGAGCTGAGAATAAACCCTGAGGTAGCTCTATAACTGAATATTGGCCTGGTAATATTTTATTTATAATTATAAAATATAAATGAATTACATATTATAGACCTTATGGTTATTATTTTGTGAAAAGTGTGTTAATGGATAGATTCTGTGCTATAGGAAGATTGCACTGTTAGATGCACCTGTGGATTCCTAAGGGCTTAGTGTTATCTTTTTCTCCCCCCATCACCTTTTTAACCCAAACTCATCACCTCACCCATCTCCCTTCTGCTAACCGTCAGTTTGTTCTCTATAGTTAAGAGTATTTCTTGGTTTGCCTCGCTCTCCTTTTTCCCTTTGCTCATTTGTTTTGCTTCTAAAATTCCACATATGAGTGAAATCAAATGATGTTTGTCTTTCTCTGACTTATTTCACTTAGGATAATGCTCTTGAGCTCTATCCACATGGTTGAAAATGGCAAGATTTCACACTTTTTGTGGCTGAATAATATTCCAATGTGTACTTATGCCACATCTTCTTTTTTTTTTTTTAAGATTTTATTTATTTATTAGACCGAGATCACAAGTAGACAGAGAGGCAGGCAGAGAGAGAGAGGAGGAAGCAGGCTTCCCGCCGGGCAGAGAGCCTGACACGGGGCTCGATCCCAGGACCCTGGGATCATGACCCGAGCTGAAGGCAGCGGCTTTAACCCACCGAGCCACCCAGACACCCCATGCCACATCTTCTTTATCCATTCACCAGTCAGTGGGCATTTGAGCTCTTTCCATAATTTGGCTGTAGTAGATAATGCTGCTGTAAACATAAGGGTGTATGTATCCCTTTGAATTAGTATTTTTGTCTTCTTTGGGTAAAAACCTAGTAGTGTGATTGATGGGTGGAGTAGCTCTATTCTGAACTTTTTGAGGAGCCTCCATACTGTTTTCCAGAGTGGCTATAGCAATTTACATTCCCACCAACAGTATAAGAGCGTTCCCCTTTCTCCACATCCTCTCCAACACCTATTGTTTCTTGTGTTTTTGTTGGCCATTCTGACAGGTACAAAGGGATACCTCATTGTAGTTTTGCTTTGCATTTTGTTCATAAGTGATGTTGAGCATCTTTTCATATGTCCATTGGCCATCTGTATGTCCTCTTTGGAAAAATGTCTGTTCATGTCTTCTGCCCATTTTTAATTGGATTATTCATTTTTGGGTGTTGAGTTTTATAAGTTCTTTATAGATTGGGGTACTCACCCTTTATCAGATATGTCATTTGCAGATATCTTCTCCTATTCCATAGGTTACCTTTTAGTTTTATTGATTGTTTCCTTTGCTGTGCAGAAGCTTTTAATGTTATTGAAGTTGCAGTAGTTTACTTTTGCTTTTGTTTCCCTTGCCTCCTGAGACGTGTTTATTAGAAGTTGCTGCCGAGGCCAGAGGTTCCTGCCTGTGTTTTCAAGGATCTTTCATCCATTTTGAATTTATTTTTGTGTGTGGTGTAAGAAATTGGTCCAGTTTCATTCTTCTGCATGTGGCTGTCCAAATTCCCCAACACCATTTGTTGAAGAGACTGTCTTTTTTCCGTTGGATACTCTTTCCTGCTTTGTCGCAAGTTAGTTAACCATACATTTGTGGGTTTATTTCTCAGTTCTTGATTCTGTTCCATTGGTCTATGTGTCTGTTTTCATGCCAGCACCATACTGTCTTGATCACTACAGGTTTGTGATACAACTTGAAGTCTGAAATTTTGATGCCTCCAGGTTTGCTTTGCTTTTTCAAGATTGCTTTAGGTATTCAAGGTCTTTGGTATTTCCATACAAATTTTAGGATTGTTCTAGCTCTTTAGGAAAAAAAATGCTGTTGATATTTTGGTAGGGATTGCATTAAATATGTAGGTTGCTTTGGGTAGTATAGATACTTTAACAACATTTGTTGTTCCAGTCCATGTGCATAGAATATCTTTTTGTTTCTTTGTGTCACCTTCAATTTCTTTCATTGGTGTTTTATAATTTTCAGAGTACAGGCTTTCACCTCTTTGGTTAGGTTTATGCCTAGATAGCTTATTATTTTTGGTGCAATTCTAAATGGAATTGATTCCTGAATTTCTCTTTCTGCTGCTTCATTAGTGATATATGGAAATGCAACAGATTGCTGTACATTGATTTTGTGTCCTGCGACTTTACTGAATTCGTTTTTCAGTTCTAGCAGTTTTTTGGTGGAGTCTTTCAGGTTTTTTATGTTTACTACCATGTCATGTGCAAAGAGTGAAAGTGTTACATCTTTGCTGATTTGGATGTCTTTTATTTCTTTGTGTTGTCTGACTGCTGTGGCTAGGGCTTCCATTACTATGTTAAATAACAGTGGTGAGAATGGACATTCCTGTCTTGTTCCTGACCATAGAGGAAAAGCTCTCCATTTTTCCCCATGTAGGATGATATTAGCTGTGGGTTTTTCACCTGTCACCTTTTATTATATTAGCATTATCTTTTTTAATCCTGGTACACCCAAAGTATAGTCACGGTGCATAGAAAGAAATGAGCTCTAAAGAGTTTCTCTTTTTACCTGAACTGTTAAAGTTGCATCAAAAGAAAAGAAAACCTTCAAAGAATCAACATATGAAATTTCACATGCATGTTAACTATCGAAAATAATATTTGTGGAGCTCATAAAAATAGTGTTACCTAAACACAAAGGTAAAAGAGCCATTAACATGAGTGGAGCATGTACAGTGTACAAGGGGCCATGCCAGTTACTTGATACCCATTATCTCAGAGACACCTCATAGTAACCCCATAAGGAAGATACTATTTAAATCCCTGTTTCCAAACTTTATCAATTTATAGGCATGATACAACTATTTTCATTTTATATTTAGAACAATTTGGTCCTAAAAAAAGGTAAGTAAGTCAGTGTTACATATTTTATCTGTATATCATATATCTATCATCAAATTAAAATCTCTGTTTAAGTGTTTATGATTTCTGCAATAAAATAGTTTAAATATAGCTAGTGGGAATTATACTGCAATGTTAACTTCTCTGTTTTTAGGGTTTGGACAGAGGATCCAAAGGCCAAATTTCCACTTTTAGCAGTTTTATTTCAACTGTTAACCAGAAGAAAGAAGCCGCTGAAAACAGAAGTTCACCTACACATCTTGTTTTCCCTAACATCAAGAATGGTAAAATAATAATGACTATTGAAAGTACACATAGTCTTTATATTTTGGCTGAAAAAATATTATCAAACTATTAAAAAGTGGTTTTTTTGGTAGGTGAAATTAATTAATACAATATGAAAAAGAAATAAGCTGTATAAATATTTACACAAAGGAGCAAAATTGTTATTTTTAGGTGACTGTTACCTAGGGTAAGGTATGAATGACATACAAAGCTTGTGAATAATAGAATTTGGTTAGGCAGCCAGACACCATACAAATATATGAAAATTCAGTAGATTTCCTTTATTTGAAGAATAATCAATTAGCAGACTTGATGGAAAATAATGAAATACTTAGAAATAAACCTAAAAGAAAGTGAGCTAAACCTGTATGAAAAACTTTATCAAAAGACTAAAAGGTCATGGGATGAAAAAACATGAAGGTGTCAGGTATACCCAGTTTACTCTCTATATTTAATACATTTTTCAGCAGTTTTGTGTGGGGAGCGGGTAGGATATTAAGACAATGATGGCCTATGTGATCTATAAGAATCAGTGTCCAAGAAGATGCAAGCAAATGTAATGAGGAAGCCCTTTCCTCTGTAGTACATACATTATAAAGCTATTATATTTGCAGTGCTGCCACAAAGACAGCCAAATAGATCAGTAAAAAATGTAGTATATAAGTGGTATTCAGTTATTCAAAAATGGAATTAGGATGACTAGTTAACCTATTAAAAATAATAACTTGGGATTTTTTTAAACTACAGAAGTACTAGAAGAAAACACAAGAGGTTGTTTATATATATAAAAAAAATCTCTTGGCATGATAATGCCAAAAGCCATAAAACAAAAAATTGACAAGTTTGAGTATATAAGAAAATTTAAAACTTCCATGGGAACTTTTTAAAATCGTAAAGTATAAACATCTACAAATGTCATAGTCTGTGGAAAACATATCCTTGATCATAAAGACTATTAATAAAACAATAAAATCATCATCCCAATGAAGAAAAGGCAAGGGATCTGAACAGACTCATCAAAAGAGGAAATGTGAGCAATAACTACACATGTGAAAGGTTGCCCGATCTCACTTGTATTTAAAGAAGTACAAGTTACAATAAGAAGTTAACATTTTCCTCTGCAGTTGCAGAGAATGAAAGGATTTATATCTGTGATGTTGTCTAAGGAATGTGAAAATTGGCACTTTTATGAATGAGTGGCTTGGAGTACTACGCCTCTATTAAGAAAAATGTGGTATGTGTATAAAGTGTCTAGAAGTGCCCACAGTACACTGTAAAATGAAAAACACAAGTTACATATAATAGGTAGACTATGACTCCAGGTTTTTAAGAGTAGGGAAACATTTTATACTTCTTCGAGCATATAAAGAGGTATGGAAGGATGCCCACCAGTCAGTTTAATGGTTTCCTCAGGAAAGTAGAACTGGCTGTATATTATAAATATGCTTTATTTCTTTATACAACTCTGTATTGTTTTGTCACAGGAAATATCCATTACTTGCATAATTTTAAGTTCTCTTGGCCTATAACAAAAAAAATCTGTGAAGGTTTAAATGTCCCTATACCCAAAAAACACAAAATAAACCTAGAAATGTTTAAGGACATAGTTTTTGGTAAATTGCTTGTGTCCATAGCTGTGTGTGGCATAAATTATTCTCACACAGATTTTCAGTTGACACTCCATGCTTGTGCTAGACCCATATTCTGCACTTTTGCAAGTCAGTATTTACCTTATTTCATTTATCAACCTTTGCTTTTGAGGACTTCTTTCTTCTTTTATTTATGCACTTATGGTGCACGCACGCGCGCACACGGGCACACGCGCGCGCGCGCACACACACACACACACACACACACACACACACATTCTTTCACCTCAGGCTCACTCCAAGGAGCCACTAGTCAGTCCCCCAACCCACAACAAAACAAAGCAAAGCTGTAATTACGGTACCATTAAAGAAATAAAGAAAATGAGCCTATTTGATGGGGAGAGGAGTTGAGAGAAATGATACATATTTTAGACTTGTTAACTAGATAACAACTATAAATTATATTTGTGTATTATTTGTGTATACGTTACTTTATTTGAGCCTTGCAACAATCACATAAAATAGAATAGATACTAGAATTCCTGTTATATTCGTTTTCTATTTATGTATAACAAATTACCACAAACCTAATGGTTTAAAAGCAACACCCATTTATTAGCTGATGGCTCTTTAAGTCAGAGGCCTTGGTGAGTGTGGCTGGGTTTTCTGCTCAGGGTCTCACAGGGTGTTGGCTGGGCTGGACTCTGGGCAGAATCCCCGCGGACTATCAGCGGGGGGGCTGCTCTCAGCCCCTAAACAGACCCTTTACACAGTCTGCCACCTCCACCCACAGACCTCTCGGAGTGCTGTAGCTTCCTGTTTGAAGGCCAGCAGCAGGAGCCCTGGTGTTGAATTCCCTTCATGTTTCCAGTCTCTCTGACTTTGTCTTTTGCAGCCAGTGGGAGAAAATTCTGTGCTTCTAAAGGTCTCATGTCATTAGGTTTTGCCTACCTGGATAATCTCCCTATTTTAACATCAACCAGTTATTTATATCTACACAGTCCCTTTTGTCACATAATATAATGTAATCCTGACAGAACACCAGAAAGCTGAGACTCATGGGGGCCATCTTAGTTTCTTTTTATCACACCATGTTATAAGTATGGAAACAGGCTGAGAGAGGGTAAATGACTTGGCTGGGGTCACTGTTAAGTGTTAGAACCAAAATCCAGTCCACATTTTGTGACAACAAAACTCTTGTTCCTCTATCTGACAGATAGAGGAAATTCCTGATTGACTTGTTTCTCTTTCCTGATTAATCATACCACATTAATCATACAACTCTAATTACATCATCTTCATACTCCCTAATGCTTCCAAAATTAAATAAAAAATTTTTACCTTGACACTCAAGGACATTCAAAATATGACAGCTTTTCAATGTTAGCTCCCACTTTTCTCCTACATATAACTACATTTTAGCTATTATTTTGGATGCCTCATACCTTACCTCAGAGATTTTTCCAGCTTGTTCCCACTGCCTGGAATGCACTCTTCCCTCTTTTCTACCTGACACATCCTATCTATCCTTCAGAGCTACTTCTTTATTAAACCTTTGCTGATTCTCTCCAACCAGATATAGTTCTTCCCTTCTTTGACTTTCCAATTAGGTTTTCTTTTGTTATTACCTTTTATCAAGTCACCCAGTCTTATGTATTATCATTTGAATACTATAATCTCAGACGGTATGTTCCATGAAGGAATAAAACCTTTGTAATCCCCTCAGGCTCTAGGCAGTTCCCTTGTCCAGTAGTGATTTTTAGAAGTATAGTTGACCAGTTAGTTGACTCTTGAATGACATAGGTTTGAACTGCGTAGGTCTACTTATATGCAGATTTTTTTCAATAAATACTGTACAATACAGTGAATGTATTTTCCTTGTGATTTTCTTAATATTTTATTTTCTCTAGCTTATTATTTTAAGACTTTGTTACATATAATGTACAAAATATGTGTTAACCAGCAGTTTATGTTATCAGGAAGGCTTCTAGTCAATAGTAGGCTATTAGTAATTAAGTTTTGGGGGAGTCAAAAGTTATATATGGATTTTCAACTGCATGAGGGGTTGGTGCCCCTGACCCCCCACATTGTTAAAGGGTCAACTCTATTGCATAGAGTCAAACAAGAGAGAACCCAGGACAGAGGAAATAGCTCTCAGAGTCAATGTGCCAAAGAAGTGACAGCAGTCACAACAGCAGCTTCACACAGTGCTTACTTTGTGCCACTCATGGTTCTGAGTGTGGTACATATAGGAATTCATTTAGTCCTTACAACCACTGAAGGTTGGAATCCTTTTCCTATTTCAAAGGTAAGGAAACTTAAGCCACAGAGAGTTTTAAGTGGCTTGCCCCGAGTGAACTTAACCTAGCTAATGAAATGGCAGACATAGAAAAAGGAAGAGAGCCAAGGGTAGTTTTGGATAATACCTTCATTAAAAGAAGAGTTGGTGAAAGAAAAGAAAGTGAGTCCTGAAGGAGGGAGATGAACAACGTTGGGCTGTAACTTAGAAATCCAGGAAAAAGCAGGGCACCTGGGTGTCTCAGTCAGTTAAGCATCCAACTCTTGGTTTTCGGCTCAGGTCATGATCTCATGGGTTGTGAGATCAAGCCCCACGTGGAGCCCTGTGTCAGGCTCCAGGTTCAGTGGGGAGTCTACTTGAGATTTTCTCCCTCTGTCTATCCCCCAACTTGCACGCATGCATTCTCTCTCTTTCTCTAAAATAAATAAATCTTTAAAAAAAAGGGGGGGGGGAGAGAGACAAATCAAGGGAAAAGAAAATTTAAAGAAGATGATATAGTGTCATTGCTAAGTGAGAACAAGAAGAGTAAGCACTGAGACAACAAAGCAAAGGATTTGTTGTTTAATGTGTTTATTGATGACTTTTAAGAGAACGGTTTCACTAGGATGGTATGAGGAGAATTCAAACTGTAGGAGGTTAAGAGGCAGATTGATAGCAAGGCTATAGGGGCAATGTAGACTGCCCAGATTGAACTGAAGCTTAGCTTGTACTGAAAGAAAAGCAGGGTCTTGCAGAGCAGTGTGGTCAAGGAAAGGATCTCATACAGAGGGAGAGACTAAAGCTGCAGTAGGAAAATAGAATAATAAAATGAACTAGTAGAATAGAGAAGTGGTATGAGGATAGGACCAAAGAAAAATGCAAAGCGTAGGGGTTGGGATGTCAGCACCAGCAAGGTTATAAGAGCTCTCATTACTCACACTACAGAATTGAGGGAAGAGAGGAAGTAGGAAGAGGAAATGGAAGTAGAAAACTCAGTTCTTCTCGCCTTGAATTCACTAATCTCCTTGGAGGGTGTATCAGTTTCTTCCTGCTGCTGTAACATAGAACACAAACTTGATAGCTTAAAACAACAGAATTTTTTCTCTCATGGTTCTGGAGGCTAGAGATCTGA